TACTACTACTACTACTACTACTACTACTACGACTACTACTACTACTACTACTACGACCTCGACGACGACGACTACTACTACTACTACGACTACTACTACTACTACTACTACTACTACTACTACTACTACTACTACTACTACTACTACTACTACTAGTCGTACCACTACTACTGCTCCTCATGGCTACTACTACTACTACTACTACTACTACGACGATGACGACGACGAGGACGACGACGACGACGACGACGACGACGACGACGACTACTACTACTACTACCACTACTACTACTACTACTACTACTGTTGCTACTACTACTACTACTACTACTACTACTACTACTACTACGCCTCATGGCGCCAACATCGCAGAGCGGATTTCGTTTGGAAAACGGTAGGGTGGGCCCAGAGTGTCCTTGAGAATTGCGTTCTGGATTTCGGGGTGAATTCTTTGGCCAGTTAAGAAGATCTTTGCGTGGCCAGTTCTTTCTGGCCAGCTTTGGCCAGAAAACTCCGTGCGGAGTTCTTTGGCCAGGAATGAAGACCAAAAAGAATCCACGCGACATTCCTTTCGTTGTTCGCTTGCCGTGTCGGGCAACAGTCCACGCAGAAATCCACGCAGGCAACCGCTGCAGCAAGTTTGCAAGGTCGGTGCACAGCTACTTCTGCTACGGCTACCACCCCTAATTCTAGCACTGCTACTTCTATTACTACTACTACTACTACTACTACTACTACTACTACTACTACTACTACTACTACTACTACTACTAATACTACTACTGCTACTGACTACTACTACTACTACTACTACTACGACTACTACTACTACTACTACTACCTAACTACTGCTACTAGCACTACCATTCTTTCTACTACTTTCTACGACTACTACTACTACTAACCTACTGCACTACTACTACTACTACCCGACACTACTACTACTACTACTACTATTACTACTACTACTACTTGTCTATACGACTACTACCTATTACTACTACTAACCTACGACTACTACTATGATTACTACTCCTACTACTACTACTACGACGACGAGTACTACTACTACTACTATTACTACTACTACTACTACTACTACTACTACGACTACTGCGAGTACTACTACTACTACTAATAATAATGATAATACCACTACTACTACTACTACTACTACTACTACCACTACTACTACTACTACTACTACTACTACTTCTACTACTACTACTACTACTACTACTACTACTACTACTACTACTACTACTACGAGTACTACTACTACGACTACGACTACGACTACTACTACTACTACTACTACTACTACTACTACTACTACAACCACTATTACGTTTACTTCTACTACTACTAATACTACGACTACTACTATTAGTACTTCTACTTGTACTACTGCCACTACTGCTGCTAATTTTGACCATTCGGCTACGACAGATTCTATGACTGCTACTACCACGACCGCCCTCCAGAGTGCGCCTGCGAATACCGGTTTGGGGCCAATTTCAACTCTGGCACGTATGTTGGTTTCCAGAATAAGCGTGGCGGCGTAAGAAGTGCGACTTCGTTTTTACATTTGTCTTGAAACGCTATTTTTCTTGTGTGGGCTTATCTGCCATCGGTTCGGATTCGGACCAGTTTGCTTTTCGCGCCGATTGGGATTGGTACCAGTTAGTTGGGATTGGGACCAGTCGGTTGGGATTGGGCCAGCATGCGGCCCCCCCCCCCGAAGGGGAAGGAGGGGGTTGGAAGAGAAAGCTCTCTAGACTACCTACGCCCTAAAGGGTTCATGGGATTGCGAGACTCGTTGGTGGGAGCACATATCTACGGCCTCGCGGTATGGTTTAGGCCGCGACCTTCTAGGTACAGGGTGGCCATGTGCGGAAGCCCCGCGCGGAACGTATCCATAGGATCGCGTATCCATGGGATCGCGCCTCGGAGCCCAGACCGCGAGGGCGCGGAGGAGATTGACATGCATGCGCCTCCGCATGCGCCTCCGGTCGCCCCAGAGATCTGAACCCGCAGGGGTCTCGGGGCTCACGCGTGGCCGCCCAGCATCGCGCACCCCTCCGGCACTGCAGGGATGGGCGAGCCCCCCCCGGACGACCTGCAGGGCCTCTCGGACACCTGCCTCACCGTGGCCGGAGTGGCCTGGCCGCTGTCGGACATCCTCGGAGCCTCCATCGCGCCCTCCGGCGCGGGGGGCGTGGGCGCGGTCGAGGTGGCGCGCTTCGCGAAGGTCGGCCGAGCGCTCCTGGACGGGCCGGTGGCCCCAGCCTCGGGGGACGCGTTAGCCGACCGCCTCTCCCCGATCCTGGCGCCGGGCCCGCCCTATGCATGGAGGGCTCCTCCGAAGGGCTTATAGTCCTCCTCCTCCTCCTCCTCCTCCTCCTCCTCCTCCTCCTCCTCCTCCTCCTCCTCTTTCTCCTCCTCCTCTTCCTCCTCCTCCTCCTCCTCCTCCTCCTCCTCCTCCTCCCTCCTCCTCCTCGGGTCGCCTACGGCCTCGGGGGAAACCGTGCACCTATGCATGCATCCAGGGTCGGCGCACGCGCCGCCCCGGCCAGGCGCCCGGGATGGGACTTGAGGCCGCAGACCCCCCGCGGCCCATGACAAAAGCACGAGGGGAGGCTGTTCGCTGCTGTCGGCCTCGCGAGGGGCCCCTCACCGGGCCTCGGGACCGTCAAAGAACGACCCGGGACGAGAAGCCGGCCCCGGGGAAGGGGCGAGACTTCTGGGGTCGACGCCACACGACGTCGGGTGTCTTGGGCCTGGCCCCCCTTGCCCCTCTCGGGCCTCCGCCGTGCACCAGTCGGCTGAGCGAGAAGGAGCAGGCCTTCGCAGAAGGCGGCGGGGCTTCTCAGAGGCCCGGCCGCCTCCTGAGAAGTGTCCTGCGCCTTCGGTGGAGGCACCGAAAGCTGCTCAGAAGGCTGGAGGCCTTCCGAGCCGGGAGCCTGCCCTGGGCGGACCCGCCTTCTCGCTTCCGCCCTCCCCCCCCCAAGCGCGCCGCCGACAGTCGACACATGGGCGGCATTTCGTCGTTTTTTCTTGTCATTTTATGCATACGCATGTACATACTTATACATACACACATATATATATATATATATATAAAATATAGGTATAGATAAAATGTTGTAAACATATGGTCAACCCACATATTCATATCGTGTATATGTGTATATGTGTATGTGCGTATACATACATACACACATGTATATATACACACATACGTCTATTTATGTGTGCGTGCGTATATGTATGTATATATCTACACACCCGCGCACGAGGCCCGGGCGCCCAGGGCCCGGGCCTCGAGCGCGCGAGGAATGGGGCCTCCGAGACCGCTCCCGGAGCACCCCAGAGGGGCCGTGGAGCCCCCAGACTGCCCCAGCTCCAAGTCGCTCCCAGAAGCCCCGGGGAGACTTCGACAAGCCCTTCCAAGACAGCTCAGATATCCCTAGCGTGGCCCAAGATGGGCTCCAGACCGCAAATGCGCAGCCCAAGAGGTCTCCAAAAAGGAGAGCTCCGAGAGGCGTCCCGAGAGAGCCCGAAGAGGCCCACATCTTTGAAGTCCATTGATTTTTACGATGCTTTTCGGTTTCTCGCGTTTTCGACCTTCCGACGCTCCAAGTCGGCCGACGACGCACCCAAGACCGCCCCAAGACCGCCGAAGAGGCCCCCAACAAAGCCCCAAGACGGCCCCAGGGAGCCTGAAAATTGCCCAGGAGGAGCATCAGACGGCCCAAGAGAGAACCAGGACAGGCCCAAGCTGGGCCACAGTGCGAGAGTGGGAGGCCCCAAGGCGCTCCAAGACGGCCCAGATGGCCCCAACGTGGCCCCAGATGGGCGCATCACGGCCAATACACAGCCCAAGAGGCCTCCAAGAGGCTCCAAGAGAGCTTCGAGAGGCGTCCCGAGAGAGCCCAAAGAGGCCCAAATCATTGATTTGCATTGGTTTGTTCGATGTTCTTCGCTTTCTCGCGTCCTCGAACTTCCAATGCTCGAAGACAGCCGAAGACGCCCCCAAGACCGCCCCAAGATCGCCGAAGAGGCCCCCAACAGAGCCCCAAGACGGCCCCAGGGAGCCCGAAAATTGCCCAGGAGGCGCTTCAGACGGCCCAAGAGAGCCCCAGGAGAGGCCCCAAGCTGGGCCACAGTGCGGGAGCGGGAGGCCCCAAGGCGCTCCAAGACGGCCCAGATGGCCCAGGCCTCCCCTTTCCGTCCATCCTCTCTCCTCCTCCTCCTCCCTTCACCCTTCAGCTTTCGTGTTCCTCCCTCCTCTCCTGGGGCGGCCCCGCCAGAGCTCCGGACAGGCCAGGCCAGAGCGAGCGGGGGATCGCTATACCCTATCATGTCAAAAGTTGCTTTGCCCCTCGCACCCTTCAAGGGCGGCCCCGGCAGAGCGAGAGGGATGTTGCTGTACCATACACAGTCCCTGTTCTGTCTTGCTCCTCCCACCGCACCCGGGGTACACGGGGGGTACTATAGTTTTGACCATAAGACGTCATGCTGTCGACGCCCCCTGCCCCCCCGTAGAATCTTAGCGACATGTTTTGGGTCGGGCGGCGGTTCGACTCCGATGGGCTCTCACCCTGTAAGAATATAATAATATATATATATATATATATATATTTAAAACAGGGTGATAATTACTCCGTCCCATTTAAAATAGGGCCGGAAAACACTCCGACTTGAACCCATTCACAGTAAACCACTCCGCTTGGGTCACGTTTGATCGTCCGTGTCATCATCCCCATCGACCCTGTCCTTATCATGCCAACGCGATGTTTCATTGTATTCCTTGTTGCATTGATGCCGTGAGACCCTGGGCATCCTTCTCCAATGCGGTCGCTCTCGGTTCACTGGTTGGCCGTCCCAGAGGGCCCACAAAGGCTCGCGAATCCGCATCAAGGCACCTTTGCATCCTCATCGGTCCTCCGCGGCACGCGTGACCAGCGAGGCAATTCTCATCTTATGGTCAAAAACTTTAGTACCCCCGAAGGGCAAAATGGGTTCTCGCCGCCGCCAATCATCATCGTCATCTCCATCATCATTGCAGCCGCTTTGGCTCAAGACCTTAGCAAGGATTTGCTCTGCCGTTGGTCATGGGGTTGACTGGCGCAGTGCAAGCCCGGAGGGCTTTGGTGAAGTTGCTCCTCACGGTCATCAGCGTCGGCTGTTTGCTGCGCGGGTGAGCACTCCATCTGCCCTGGCCGTTGGCCGTGCAGGTGAGAAAAGTCCGCAGGGCAAAATGGGTTCTCGCCGCCGCCAATCATCATCGTCATCTCCATCATCTTTGCAGCCGCTTTGGCTCCAGACCTTAGCAAGGATTTGCTCTGCTGTTGGTCATGGGGGTGACCTGGAACAGTGCAACCCGGAGTGCTTTGGTGAGTTGCTCCTCACGGTCCCATCAGCGTCGGCTTGTTTGCTGCGCGGGTGAGCGCTCCATCTGCCTGGCCCGTTGGCCGCGCAGGTGAGAAGTCCGCAGGGCAAATGGGGTTCTCGCCGCCGCCAATTCATCATCGTCATCTCCATCGTCATTGCAGCCGCTTGCTCAAGACCTTAGCAATGATTTGCTCTGCTTTGGTTCAATTGGTTTTGACTGGCGCAGTGGGCAGACCGGGAGGCTTTGGTGAAGTGCTCCTCAACGTGCCAGCAGCGTCGCTTTTTGCCTGGCGCGCGGGTAGCACTCCATCTGCCCTGGCCGTTGGCCGTGCAGGTGAGAAAAGTCCGCGGGGCAAAATGGGTTCTCGCCGCCGCCAATCATCATCGTCATCTCCATCATCATTGCAGCCGCTTTGGCTCAAGACCTTAGCAAGGATTTGCTCTGCTGTTGGTCATGGGGTTGACTGGCACAGTGCAAGCCCGGAGGGCTTTGGTGAAGTTGCTCCTCACGGTCATCAGCGTCGGCTGTTGCTGCTCGGGTAGCGCTCCATCTGCTCTGGCCCGTTGGCCGTGCAGGTGATAAAAGTCCGCAAGGGGGATGGTGTTTCTCGCGCCGCCAATTATCATCGTCATCTCCATCATCGGCGGTTCGACTTTGGCTCAAGACCTTAGCAAGGTATTTGCTCTCTGTTGGTCCATGGTGTTGACTGTCGCCAGTTCAAGCCCGGATGCTTTGGTGAAGTTGCCCTCACGGTCATCAACGTCGGCTGTTTGATGCGCGGGTGGAGCCACTCCATCTGCCCTGGCCGTTGGCCGTGCAGGTGAAGAAAAGTCCGCGGGGCCAAAATGGGTTTCCCGCCGCCGCCATCAATCATCGTCATCTCCATCATCTTTGCAGCCGCTTTGCTCAAGACCTTAGCAAAGGATTTGCTCTGCTGTTGGTCGTGGGGTTGACTGGCACAGTGCAAGCCCGGAGGGCTTTGGTGAAGTTGCTCCTCACGGTCTTCTGCGTCGGCTGTTTGCTGCGCGGGTGAGCGCTCCATCTGCCCTGGCCGTTGGCCGTGCAGGTGAGAAAAGTCCGCAGGGCAAAATGGGTTCTCGCCGCCGCCAATCATCATCGTCATCTCCATCATCATTGCAGCCGCTTTGGCTCAAGACCTTAGCAAGGATTTGCTCTGCTGTTGGTCATGGGGTTGACCTGGCGCAGTGCAAACCCGGATGGCCTTTGGTGAAGTTTGCTACTCACGTCCATCGAGCGTCGCTGTTTGCTGCGCGCCGCGGTGGAGCACTCCATCTGCCCTTGCCACTGCCCGTTCCAGGTGAAGAAACGTTCCGCGATCAAAATTGGTTCTCGCCTCCGCCAATCATCATCGTCATCTCCCATCATTGCAGCCCGCTTTGCTTCAAGACCTTAGCAAGGGATTTGACTCTGGCTGGTGGGTCATGGGGTTGACTGGCAACAGTGCACGCCGCGTAGGGCTATTGTGAAGTTTGCTCCTCAAGGTCATCAGCGTCCGCGGTTTGCTTTGCGCGGGTGAGCGCTCCATCTGCCCTGGCCGTTGGCGGGGTGATAAAGGTCGCAGGCAAAATGGGTTATTCGCACCCCCTGAAGGGAGCATCCGTCATCTCCATCTCATTGCACCGCTTTGGCTCAGATCTTACAGGAATTTGCTCTGCGTTGTCATGGGGTTGACTGGCGCAGTGCAAGCCCGGAGGGCTTTGGTGAAGTTGCTCCTCACGGTCATCAGCGTCGGCTGTTTGCTGCGCGGGTGAGCACTCCATCTGCCCTGGCCGTTGGCCGTGCAGGTGAGAAAAGTCCGCGGGGCAAAATGGGTTCTCGCCGCCGCCAATCATCATCGTCATCTCCATCATCATTGCAGCCGCTTTGGCTCAAGACCT